ACCCACACAATAGTCATTTGGTCATCAAAAATACAATATTTTTGGGTGCCTCAGAGGGTTCAGAGCAGAGTCTACCACAAAATGGCTCTGGAAGTTAACCTCCTTATAGCTATGGATGTAGCTAGCATCTCTGTGTTCATACTGCTGGGCTTTTATACAGCCTTTGGCACAGTGAACCACAAGTTACTGCTACCCTGACTGTATGATCAAGCAAAAGGATAGATGACCAAATGACTAATTTGGTGATGGTAAGCATTTCTTCACTCTGAAGTCCTTCAGCTGCAGGGTACTGTAAAGCAGCGGGGCCAATCTTTTTGGCACAAATGCCACAAATTAGTCCCACAACCTCTCTGAATGGCACTCTGATCCCCCGCTTCCATGCCCCTCTGCTGCCCTGCTTTCTGCTTCCATCCCTGTGCTCCCTACCCCATCTGCTACTCTGCCTTTTGTTTCCTGCCCTATCTGCCATGGTGTTGCTTGTACCCTGCCTGATCTGCCAAATGCCATACCCACAGGCTGCCCTTGCCAATTGTAGCATATGTGCTGCAGGTTGGCCAGACCTGCTTTAAGAGATCCAAACTGTCCTCACTTTTCTTTAACATGAGGCCACTGGGAGACATAGTAAGAAGCACAGGAAGCCACAGAAGAACTTCACTAACTCAGTGTGTCAGTGACTTAGAGCTGTGTACCATTCTCTCCTATTATGTCTACTGCCCCTAGTACTACAATATGAAAATGACCACAAGATACCAGCTGTCTCATGACCATGTAACAGCACTTTCCTGAAACATTGTACTTTACCTCCGGCTTGAAAAGCTTTTGTCCTCTTCTTCTGGATGAAGATCTGACCACAGCTATCTGTGCATCTGTCTCCTCCAGCCTGGATGAATGTAACTCATGATATCTGTGTTTGCAGCAGAATGTGAAGGTGATGCTCAGGGTGGCACAGAATGTGCCTGTCCATCTCCTTGATGGCTTAATTCACTTTAAACATGTCGGACCTATGCTCAAGTCCCTTTGATTGATCCCGATTAGTGTTCAATGCCAGTTGAAGAGATTTTTCCTCATTTTCAGTGCAGTAAGTGGCCCCAGATTGGGGTATAGTGGCAGAATGTCTAAGGCATCTTGCTGTGGCTCCCAGGGTGTCAGTTCATGCCCCAGTCTGGGCTCAGGCTAAAAGCTGTCCCCTGTTGACTCAGCTGTAGATAGGTACCTGTTCATTCAGGTTGGTTAGTTATAGGCAATGGACATGCATTGCTTCTTCTATGCTATTGGCTGTTGTGCTTTTTTGCCTTTGTCTGGTTTTTTGAACAATGGCCACAGCAAAAATTGGGAGTTTTGACTGATGTGCACTGATGTCTACAATCAATCTCTCAGCTAACTGGCTGCAGGGCCTTGCTTTTCCACTTAATATCAAACCAGCTGCCAGATTCGAGGCCAGAAAGGCAAGGACTGTGGGAATTTTTGCCTTCCTTTATAGTAGGAGTACCAGAAGTGCCAGAAAGTCCATAAAGGTGCTCAGACACTACAATGCTGTATGGCAGTATAAAATCCCCCAAGATAGATAGATAAGTATTACAAGTGATCATAAGGAATGGAAAAGTGTGCTTAGTTTAAAATGTTTTTGTGCATAATAAATAGACTGTTTTTAGTCAGTTCTCTGTTTGGGAAGTCCCTCAAGTTCATTGTGGTTGTCCTCGCAACAAACATACCTCTTCTTTCCCTGCCCCCCAACCTTTCTAATTTGTACTACTTTAACAGATACCATTATGAGACCACACTGGGAAATTCCCAGGGTCCCTAGTGCCATTTGCTGTCATTTGTGCTATGTAAAGAGGCTGAAGTGCCATATGTTCCTTTGTAAGTGAAAGGCTGTTTCACCCAGCACATTTATTTTCAACTTGGTCTAATTCTCCTTATGCTTTAATTAGTTTTACAACATTGTAACTGCTTTGACATGAGTAGAATTGCACCTCCTTATACAGAACCATGTAAGAAAATAATCTGTACCAAACAGTGGAATACCTAGGGCAGAGGACCAGAGCAGGTGCCCTGGGTACTAACTTGGGGGGGATGTATGGGGGGGGGACAGACCAGAAAAATATGCAGCCGCATAACGAGCAGCATGGTGACAGCCAGAAATCTCCACTGCCCTGTGTGTGGCAGCATGCCCCAGGTGCCCAGCTGTATCATTATGACCCTGGGCCAAAAGTCTCTCTTCTCTTCAAGAAACCCTTATTAATATGGGGGGACTGGACTTGGTAGCTCAAGAGGCCTCTTCCAATCCTTTGCTCCTATGGACACTGGCATGCCTTAACGAGGGTAGGCCTTCGGTTACTAGAAAATGTTCATGTTAAAGTGTGAGTTGCAGGAGTTGTTGTGTGAAATAATAAAAGTGACTGGACAATAAATCAATTTGACTGGCCTCAGCCTAAACTCCTGATCTAACTCCTGATCTGTATGACCACATACATGGCAGGTTGAAAGAGACTGCATATCCTGCTTTTCCATAAGATGTCCTGGGATGAGCTTTGGGAACATCTGGAAGGTCCTAGCTTTTAATTAATCAATAAGGAGCATTATTTTGATAACTTAGAAGGCTTGTTTAAAGCATATGCAGTAGCTATTCTGAGTAGAATTTGCTCTGTGTTTTCCAGGCACAAACAGTTCAGTGGAAAGAGTGCTCAGTGAACTGAGTAATTTGGGAGTGAAAAGAAATGTCAAATGAACAGGGATGTTTTCAAGGTTATTCTTTTGCTCAGGGTGAATTCTAGTGACACTTGTTCATTCAAGGTCTGAGTTGTAGAAAGATATCATTGGTCCTATGAAACATGCGTCTTGGTGATTCAGAAGCTGCATTGAAAACATGATCAAATGCAATGATTTCCTGATAAAGTCACCATAACACTGTCACCATGCTGCTCATTATGCGTCACCATAACACTGCCTCTGATTTTTTAATGTTAAAATTGGATGAAATTCTGGACAAATATGCTAGGGGTTTCACTAACTTCGGAGAGTAGGGGATGGGGAAGGAAATGGTGTCATTGAATATTTGATTTTCAATACCATGCCTCCAAAAGACTAGAAAAATGCTGCTCAGTTTGTTTACAGGAATAAACTGACAGTTTATGTAGATCACTTCCTAACAGCAGCCTGGTACTGCAGTCAACCCGGAAGTCTTCAAGTAGATAAGGCTTTGCCTCTTGCTGTTGCATAAAAATGTGGATGATTTCTTGATACTGTTTACAAGGAGCTTGGAAAAGGTGATTACAGTAATGACAGAGAAGTGGGAGAGCCTTGTTGGTAAAAGTAAACGTTTAATAGCTTAATAACTAGCTTTAGAATAACTGGCAGGCACCTGGCAAGGGCAGGCCCAGGGGACACTGCAGCTGCAGAGGGAAGCACCAGGCCCCTGCACAGAGCAGGCAGGCAGGCAGGCTCCAGCAGGGGGGAAGATCAGGCTTGCTGCTTTTTTTTCTTCTCCCTTCGGTGGAGCTTGCCTTCCTGGGCTGCTGATGGGCTGCCTGCAGAGCCCCTGAGCTGCCCAGAGCCTGGTACTTCCCTCCATGGCTGTAGGGTAGGAAACTAAAACTCCTCGGAGGTGTTTTACTTTGCAGCGCCCTAAAGTAATTTGCTGCATCCCAAAGTCATTTAAGGCACATTACATCACCGAATGTGCTACAGTGGCTGGAATCAACGTGCAATATGCCCCCAAATGTGCAAATAGCAATGGCATTAAAGCCGTGCAAAAGGCATTTATTTAACCCGCTTTAAAGTGTTGTCTACAAACACCCCTACTTCCAAGTTTCTTAGCACAAGTCACACATTGCCAGCTCTGTCTGATCTTTTGTGGTGATGTTATTAACTATTTTAGGTTCCTCAATCCTGAAGTCCTTCCTGTCCAGTTTTCACTTATTCTGGCAAACTTTTATTGACTTCAGTGTTTATTTTGAAGGGACAGCAGCTCCTAGTGTTTTGCATGTGGTATGAACTTGCTCATATGGAGCTGTTACTTATTCCACACAAGCGCTGTGCTTGGCCACAAACAGATTCACAAGATGCCTTCTAGACTAAAAGCTGTCTACCAGTTTGCATGCCGCTGTGAGGTACAATCCCTAGCAGCTGTGCAGAGTAGAGACTGCTCATGGGGGTGGAGGGATGAAGAGGTTGGACTAAGGGAGGACCGTCTTTTTTAAAAAAAAAAATGGGACAGGTGGGCATGTTTTTTCCCCCAAACACTTAGGCCTTTACTTCAGTCTATCCTTAGGACTGTGCAAGGAGTTTGGGGTGTGCCTACATAGATAAAATCCATTTTACTTCAAAAGGGAGGGGAAGGATGAGCATTTTAGCACCAGCTGAATGTCTTGGTGAGCTTCCTCACCCGGCAGGGATGCCAGACCGCTCTCGGGGGCATCTTTAGCACTGCCTGCCAAGTGAAGCTGCTAAGAGCCGGGCTGGTGAGACATGGGCAGGACCGACTGCAAGCACTGACAGTCTTGGGGGTGGCGCCGACCCGGGCTTGCAACGCCCACGCGTCAGGCAGGTCCCCGCAGCCCTGCGCTTCGGAAAGGAGGAAGTGAAGGGAAAGGCGGTTACGGCTCCGCGCCTTCCGCGAGCTGCGTCCTGACAGGAAGCTCCGCGGACGCGGCTGCGCGCGGCTCCTTCCCTGGGAGGGAGGTCGGAAAACTTGCCCGGCTCCCGCCCTTACCCAGCGGCGCGCGGAGCGGGCGGGAGCAGCGCGAGTCCCCGGCGCCGGCGGAGCGGGGCGGGCGCCCGATCCC